GTAAGATACAACATGCATGAATTATTCTAACTATTCGTTCTAGTTCAGTACAATAAATTTCGTGCAATAAAATTCTCCATCGTGCTTTTAAAATTCCAAATGCATTTTCAACAATCATCCACATTGATGAAAGTGTTTTATTAAAACGTTGCTCTCGATGACCCAAAGAATCATAATTCGGAAAAGCCTTCATTAAATAGGTCCTAAGTGGATATGCCGAGTCAGCAATAATATAGGTACCTCCCGGAATCCATTGTTCTAGATGAAGCTTGATTTCATGATTAAGAATTGTATGGCTAAATACACGAGAATCTCAAGTGATGTTCACCGATTTGATAATTTATTAGTACTAATCGGTGTATCAGAAGTAGTAACAGGAGGGGTCAAAATAGGTTGTTCAATCGAAATAGCAGAGTTACTATAAATTGCCTATTTAAAAAAATTTAGATATGTATGTACATACAATACATATATAGTATATATAATGATAATATTAAAAAAAAAAAAAAAAAATTACTTCTTGTTGCCATAAGGCAACTTTCGCTAATGACTCTATGAATTGATTCTGTTGCTATTGCAACAAAAAATTTAAATTGGTAAGGTTATTTAAAGGAGAAGCCAAACCGAAGCCGAAGCAACTGAAGTTGAAGCTTCGACAGCTGGTTGAACTGGTTGAGAGGAAATTTTTTTATTGGATTTTTTAGGTTTCATAATGAAAATTATGAAAAACAGAAAAAGCATGCTCAAGCATTTAATTCTATAAATATTGCTATCAATTGTGATGCATGAGTGTCATCACGATCATTACATGATCAATTGATTTAGATGCTTGAGAACACCTTAAGTTACAGAAATTAACTATTAAATTATAGAAGTTTTTCAAATTGTAAATTATACTACAGGTGACCCTTAGGGATGTGCCAAATATTGGCTGAGATCAGTTTACTATAGAGCTCACCTCCTTCCTCCCTCCCTCCTGAGAAATTTAGTCATTCTGATTGATTATATGTATATATTTAGACCTGAGATTTTTGTTTACCTCCCCATACCCTACGATATCAGTTGATATCTGACACTTCCCTTATTATTATCAACTTATTTGAATTAGACAATTTTGTTGATATATATTGTATAAGCTGAAGTTTTCTTAACCGTTTAATCGTTAAACCGTATTAACTGTTTAATTCAGCCAGCATGAAAATTGTCCTGGTTCATGATCATCCCGGCACTATGAAAAATTTTCTATGCGGTTAAACGGCTCCAATCCCTAGTATCAAGGAGATAATAATTTATAGTCTGAACTCATTTTTTACAAGTTTAGATTGAACGAAGGGTTGATATTTACAAAGTTGATATTAACGAAATCACCTATATATATTTTCAATTATTATAAAACACATCTATAGTGTTTTACACCAGGGTTGGTCAAATCACTGGTCAACCAAAAATTCGTTGGTCAAACTGGTCTGGTCAAATTGGTCAAGTGGTCCGGTCAAATTGGTAAATGGCCTAATCTATTAAATAAATAAATTTAGTATACAAAGTAAATACAGTCGACCCTCTCAGAATCGGTATGCATGGTGGACAGGTTTTGTATCAGTTTTAAGAGGTTATCGGATTTGAAAACATAGCAAACTATTGGATTAATATAACGGGAATGGACTTGGTAGATTGATTTTTTATCAGATTTGACAAGTTATCGGCTTTGCCAGGATCGGGTTTGAGAGGGTCAACTGTACTAAAGAAATTTTGTTTTTTTACTCATTTCTACCATTTCGAAAACTGCGATAAGACATAATAATAATATTTTAGAATCTTCACAAATTTTTGTTTGACTCTAATCTAAACATTTGTTTCATTTTATTTTTTTTTATTGTCAAACCATGTAAATAACTTTTTTTTATTTTGTTCAATGTTATCATTGTTTTTGACCTACCCAATCCATCTTTATAGACCTGACCCATAAAAAAAAACCTATCGTTTTGACTCATTCATGAAACACAACAATATTCAGTCTTTTAACAAAATGAAACGTGACCAAAATCACTACTATATGGTCGGAATTAGAATTACGACTTAATTAGTTTGTAATAAATTAAAATACGGCATAGTTAGTCTGTAATAAATTGAAGTTACGGATAATTAGTCTGTATAAATTGAAGTTACAGCGTAAATAGTCTGTAATAAATTGAGGTATATTTAAGTTAGCATAAATAATCTGTAATCAGTGTATATTAAGTAAAATTATGTAATAATAATTAATAGTTATTTGCTGTATGCTATTTGATTGGTCGATTTGAGCACCGAAGGTGCTTAAAATTCGACCAGTCAAATCATATGGCAAATGACGGTAAGGTACAATAGTGTTCTAATACTAGTAAAGCGCGATAGCGCTTTACTAGTATTAGAACAACTATTGTACCGTAGTTATGAGTACTTCGTGTTTGAATAACTGGTTTATTCGGCATTTATATTTATTGGATTTTGCATACCAACTGTTGACCGGGTTCGAATATATTTTAAATCCGGTACGGATTTAAAATAGTTCGAATAACGTGTGTAACTCACGTGCATAAAATGATAAATTTCAAATGCCCGGATAACAGTTTGTAACTGCAAAATCCGATAAATAGAAAATGCGAATAAATATTTTATATAAAGGCAAAATAATAAAGAACGTGAATTTTTTTGCCTAATAAAAAATTCCCAAGTTATATGTCCTACTGCAACACGTCTAAGATTACAATAGTTATCACATGATAATAAATATATAATTAATTTCGTGCAAGATGACTTCATATCCTTTTCGTATAGATAGATTTGGGTGAGCAGTAGAGCGTTACCTTTATTCGCGTCCTATACCTGTTATAGGTCCAAAGCGAAAACATGTAAATGAAGTGTAAAACAGGGTTTGTGATAGTTGAGTGTGTAGAAGTCTCTGTTGACTATCTTGGACAGAAGACTAAAAAATGTAAAGTAAATTAACAAACTGTCTTGATGATATTCTATGACTTACTGATGATTGAAAATGCCGGATTCAACAATTACATGCGGGGAACGAAGCTGATATCCATGATTGACGATAGATCTGGTTTTGTTCTAGTGAAGACAGCTACCAAAGATTGATGGCAAGCATTATGTTCATATATACTATATAGTGTATTAATTATACACCTTTAATATGTAGTCTGTTCAACGTGAAGGCAGCATTAATGCAGTTCATCCAACAAAGATTTATATGACCCAAGCTTGAAAGGCTTTTTGAAGAGAAGTAAACCGATTGGAAGTGATGCGACTTTGTAAAATCTTGTCTTGAACAAGATATTCTTTTGAGTATTTTTGCCACTCTTACTATCAAAAAAAGAACAGATCATGGATAATCAAATCGCAGAATGCTCCAGTTTTTTATGAATAGTTAAAATAAAGTTAATACGACTAAATTATTTATAATTTTATTTGATTTAGAATTTTGATTTTATCAAAATGTAATTATAGAAGAAATTAGTTACAATACATGATAAAAATTATAAAATTACATAAATTGCATGAAAGTTTCAATTATTTCTATCTAGAATATTTAAATAAATCGAATAAATTTAAGAATGCTTAATATACAATAGGTTTGTTGAATATAATTTTAAATAAAAAAAAAAATGGTATTTTACAGTTCTTTAGTTGAATCACGCTTCTTTTTATTTTTAGATCCTATACAATTAAAAAGATAAACAATTGCTAATCCCATAACTACTACTGCATGTACAACAAATCCGGTAATTTGAATAATTTCAATTATAATGGAATCTGTTTTATAAATAATTTAAAACAAGATATTAATATAACGCAAAGAAAAAACGGATATATATATATATCACTAGTCAAACAATTAAGATTCAACCAGTCGAATGTTACATTCAGTTTTAATTCAATCCATCCAATAAATTTATAGTTGAAACTAAAAAAATCGACATATCGATATAATTAGCCTATAAATTTTAGCTCGATTTTAATTTCGATTATAAATTCATAGGTTATCGATTTTTAATTTCATAGGCTAAATTTAAACTGAATATTACATTCGACCTGGTCGAATCTTAATCATTTAACTAGGATAGATGCATACCTGAATGTGGAATATATGATTCAACCCATTTTTGAGAATTTATATCAAACAGAAACATTTTTGAATTGGAACTTAACGGTCCAGAAAAATCGTTTGTTATGTTACCTAACAAAAATATTATTCTAATTTATATCTTAAAATTAATAACGGAATAATAATAGATGAAAAAAGATTACCATTTGATATAATCATATAGTCTTTAAAAATAGCAGCCGTATGATAAGTGAGTGGAGGTGGTGCATTTTCTGATGAGATTGATGGTGCAGACCATTTATATGTTGCAACATTAAGTATTATAAGATCCGGTGTGGATCTTATATTGTTAACATTACTACCACCATAGACTATAATGTTTCCATTGGAGTCTATGGTTATAAATTAAATAATATGTTAATTAATTATAGCACTTTTTTAACAAAACTTTATTGTAATTACCTAAAACAGCTGTATGGCCACCACGTGCACCAACATTATCACCTCCAGCAGTCTGAATAAAAGTAATTTGGGGTAAGCATTTCAATATTATCAATATCATAAATATTAAAATATACAACACCAATTTGGACGTACGTACTTGGTTCATCCATTTCCCCGAATTCATATCATATAACCAAATCTATGTAGCATAAAACCATACTTGAATTTAATTTTTTCTTAAAAAAAATCATCGATGCATTAATATTATGATCAATTTTATACCTGATTAATGTCAACATCTCGAAGAGTAAGGTTATCAGTCATCTCAGTTCCACCAATAATAACGATATAGCCATTCGTATTAAGTGTTGCAGTATGAGAAGCCCTTCTTGTTGGACCATTTGGAGGTGGATCAAAATTAACCCAAGATAATTCAACTGAATCCAATATTATAAAATCGTTAAAAAATAAAGTACGATTGGAGGGTTGGACGGGTGCTCCACCAAAAATAAATATCCACCCATTATTAGGATTAAAAGTAGAAGTGGCTTCTCTACGTCCTAATGGTTGAGTTCCTGAAATTTCTGGAGCAGTCCAAGTATGATTAAATGTATCATAACAATATACTAAATTTTTGCTTAAACTATTATTATTTTTATTCGTCATTATCCCACCAAATAAAAAGATTTCCGATATATGTATTCCTCCAACAGATGCAGTTCCCCATGCATTATTAACAGGTATCGAAGTTAAGTTTTTAGATGGTGATAAAACATCAAAAGGAAGTGAAAAATCGAAATAAAAAAAATTAGAATCAAGTTGAGAGTTTATTACACCGCCCATTGTATAAAGTTTAGAACCTATTAAAACATTTGTAGGAGCTAAACGTCCATCTATTATCCAGCAATAAATGATAAGAATTAATATTATTAATAACATAATTTTTTTCATAGATAAAAATAAAATAAAAATTTTATATATTTGAAATAAACTGTAAAATTAGTAAATTATCTTTACGAGAAAAAAATTATGGTTAATAATTTCAATAATTTCGGTTAAGTAAATTATAGAAATTTCTTGGCACCGCGTGTAAATAAATTTAGTTACAATGAGAATTAATGTTAAACTTGAAAATTAGCAATGAAAATAGATTTTGTACATCAGTTTAACAAGTTAAATTAATTTGAACACATAATTATAAATATTTGCCCCGTGGTAAATTGAATTGCCAATTTGCGATTTGGTAAAGTAATATAGTAAATTACCTAGTATAGTAAGTTACATAGGAAGGGATTCACCAGTAAATAAAAGATTGAATTTTATATAAATAAAGCTGAATATGGTAAGGTTAAAAGGCTAATATTTATTTAATTCTTATTCGTCAGTAGATACAGGAAAGGTTTTCTCGCGAAGTAGAAAACTTTTGAACCTTTTTTTTAGAATTTTTTTTTTAAAAAAAAAAAAGGAAAAGATGGTTAGAATAATTAAAGAAATTTGGACATTCTTAAAAAATGTTGTTGTATTTGGATGTGAGTTTGTTATTCCAGCGTCTCTTCCTTTCTTCTTTCCTTTTCTATTTTTATATCCCGGAATTTGTGAACTTTCATATGTGATATACCCTTATCTCAGCACCTTTTACGTAATTGTTTTTCTCCCTCTTGGAAATTCATTTTTAAAATTACGAGAAATGTCCTTGATTCATAAACGAATAATAAGATTATATCCAATTTTTTGTGTATTTTTTGTTTTAATAATCTTAGCTATGTTTGCTGGTTTATATTTTGGTTTACCATTTTTATATTCTTACGTTCCTTATTCAATGGTTTTATTAACAAGGAGTAATTCGGTTTTCGTAATACATTGGTTGATAAGAATTGCATGGTACCTTTTTCTTTATAATGTTCCTAATGGAAATATCTTTCCATCTGGTTCAAATCAATTATTTTATCATACAATTACTTTAATTTTTTTGATAGAAGTAACCAGTATTTATTTTCAAATGGCTGGCTATTTTACTTATTTTTTTTTTATGACAAAAAACACACTTCATTTAATAATAGTATTATCAATGACTATTTTTATAATTTTATTTTACATGTTAATATTCATATTTAAAAACTCAACGTTTTTCAAGGCGGTTTACACAGCAATTTGTTCAGATATGGCATTCCTGTGCCCAAAATGTACGAAAAAAAGAAACTATCCAACTTGGTGTCAAGATTGTGCTAGTCAACATTTTTTGTCAAATTATGAACATTGGACTAGTGGAGATCAGATAGTAGATCAAGTTATAAAATATACACAAGAGAATTCCAAAAGTCCTATTGATTTTGTGGAATGGATTCCGTACGAACAATTAGAAAAAAGGGAAAGTATTGGTCAAGATAAATATGGAAGTGTTTATAGTGCTTTTTTGAAAAGCGGACCAATTTTGATGTATAATAATAAGTTTAAAAAAACGAAAGGAATTCAAATTGCACTAAGAAGATTAAAAGACGACACGTTTAATGAGAGCTTGAGAGGGGTAATTATTATGCTTATTTTAGTTAACGAATTGTTATTGTATTCATATATTAATAATAATGGTGTGTTTTTATAGCTTTATAAGGGTTTAAAATGCTATACCGGTTCAAATTTTTACACATTCAGCACTGTACATCAAACTGGAATGTCGCCGATAATTCGTTTTTACGGTCTTACTAAAGATGCCAAAGGATACTTATTCGTAATGCAAGTTGCAGAAAATGGCGATTTACAAGATTATCTGTATAAAAATTTTGATGAATTGAAATGGCATGATGATAAATTACTTATTTTAGCTAATATTGCAAATGGTCTTAGAATTATTCATCAAAATGGTTTCAATCATCGTAATCTTCATTGTCGTAATATTTTAATTGGTAAAAATGGAATGGCTTATATTACAGATTTTGGATCATCAAGTAGTAATAGGGATTCTATTACACAAAAATTAAGTGGTTCCGCGCCATTTATTGCACCAGAAGCTCTTTCAGAAAATCATTTTACTTCTAAATCCGATGTATATAGTTTTGGATTTATTATGTGGATGCTTTCTTCTGGTGTTACACCATACCATTATCGCAAATACGATGAAGATTTGAAACTTAGCATATTATCTAGTGGAATGCGACCTCCAATATTAAAAGGAACGCCACCTTGTTTTGTAGAGTTAATGGAACGATGCTGGGATACTGAACCTGAAAAAAGACCAAACTCATCAGAAATATATGATATAATTTGTTCATGGTATTATTTTAAAAATTGTAAAGAATTTAGAGAATGTGAAAATATCTCCTCAATATCACAAAATTTACAAGAAATTACACAAGAAATTGAACTTGTAATTAAACGAGATACAATTAAACGAAATAGACCCAAACTTCTTCCGCTATCAAAGGACATTGAGCATTCAAGTGGCAAAAATAGTTCACATACTGCTATAGGACCAATCCAGAATTAATGTCAACTGTTTGTCAGTTTATAGGTTTTCATTTTTTTTAAAAAAAGATTATTTATGGTAATCCGTTAATCTGTATTAATTTCGTTCTTTTCATTTCGTTCTTTTCATTTCGTTCTTTTCATTTCGTTCTCTACATTTCGATTTGGATGTTTATAGTCCTAGTAAACAAAAATTTCATTCAAAATCTTGACACAATTAATGTGTCACCCTATATCGAATAGATGATTTAATACATTAATTAAAAATTTTTATCGTTTAATGTAATTGTTTAACAAATTTCTTTGTTTTATATTTTTTCTTTATTTAAATTTATTGAAACACCAGATAAATTATATTTAGTAAATAAAGTTGTTATTTTTGAAAGAGGTTGGAGTAACGTTAACGTTACGCAATTTTTTCTAGAAATTATCAATGATGATCATACTTTATTTAGAAATGGTTTGTTTCACACTCGTTTTTTTTAATAAAGGTAGAACATGAATAACGTACCAATGCGACATAGTTGTAACTGGGGTACGTAGCTACTGTACTCAAATGTTATGTGATGCAAGAAGGCAGCTACCCTGACTTTAGAAATGGTTGTACTTCTAGTTTTAATCAGCTAGGTTATATTATTGCAAACAGAAAAAATAATTGTGCCCACGACAGTATATAGGGTTCGGAATAGCCTATGGTTAATAAAATTTATTCTTCACTTATATAACTCGACTCGGTCGGAATTATAATCAACCTGTGTGTATCCAAGTTATTGTGTTTGAAATTGATTATTAGCTTTTACTTCATTTTTTTTAACTCGAAGCATTCTAATTTTGGTTGAGTTTTTAAATAATTCGGTTGTTCTAATTATTAACATCTATCCTAATTTAATTATAAATAACATTATCACTATTTCCGCTATTCTATATCTCTACATAAATTGCATAAACCTGCAAATAACTTCTTTTCTAGAAATAAATAATCGGAACCTGGATAATAATTTATACACTATAGGAATTGGTTAAATTTTTATTATCGGCGATTAGCGATTTGACTTACATTAAAAATGCAAGGCGGGTGCATATTTCGTTTTTTACATTTTGGTCGCTATATATTATTATCTTATCATAGTCTACATTTTATGTAAAAATAATTTTAAATTTTATTAATAACAAAGTTCGTCTGCATGTATGATCTAGTGTTACTTTTATTCACATTTGACGTCAAATAGTAATAAAAATATAAACTTTATTTTTTGATCGAAATTTAAATTTGGGATTTAAAGTTAACAAATAAGTGACGAATTTCAAAAAAAAATAGGGTTTTTTCAATAACATTTTTACTATGTTAAATTATAAGTCAGAAAAATAAAATAAGATTCTCTGATTTTAACTTTGAAACCCCTATTATTTCATTATGAATTCCTTTAAAAATATTTTTTGTTACTTTCTATGTATACCATTTTCTTTTGTGACCTTAATATTTTCTTTTGTGACCTGCCAAGATATTCCTGATCCCCGATACTATCAGGCCAGTGCATTAGTTGGTTCGAAATTTTATGTCTTCGGGGGTATCACATCATCCTCAAACGTCAGTAATGAAGTATGGTCACTTGATTTATCAAGTTTACTAAATAAAGATATTTTATCATGGCATAAAGATACCGGGTTACCAGAAGGATATGTTTATGGTGCCTCATGTGCGAGTTCTATTGATAATTCTTCGGTATTTTTAATAGGCGGAAAAATGAATCTTTTAAATACAAGTTCATATTCATTTATTTCTGAAATATATACGTTTAATTTAAATAATTCACAATGGAAACCGATGAATATAACTGGATTTAATAGTTCTTTTATAAAACACAATGAAATACAGGTTATTGCTGATAATACAGGAAAATTTTATGTTTTTAAAGAGGCCAATCATAATAATTCAGAAGAAATTTTCTATAATGATATGAATATACTTGATATTAAAACTATGAACTGGACCACATTACCCCAATGGAATGTTCCTAAATACTCTGATTACACTGCTACGTTATTACCAACAGGCCTTATCGTCTATATTGGTGGATGTAATTCTTTATCAAATAATTTATCTTCCATTAGTCTGAATGTGGTATGATCTATATAATATTTACTGATTGGTTTTCAACCGCTTTTTTTGATGGCTTACTTTTAATTAAATCTAATATAGATTCGAATATTTAACACTACATCTGCAACTTGGTCTTCCCAGGTACGTAAATATATAAATCATTTAAAATTATCAATCTCATTTTTTCTTAAAAAAATCGGGTTTATATTCTAGAGAGCCAGTGGCAACATAGCTGCTCGTGGGGGGCATTCAGCTACTTTAAGTATGTTATATATATAATCTTACGGAATATATCAAATAAGCATACCAGATTTTTAATTGTCAATACATATTCTTTATCAGTTCGAAATAGAGACATCATTATATATGGAGGCTTATCAATGATTAATGGCGTGGATTATGGTGTTCATCCAAATGTTTTAATACTAAATACAAGTATGTGGAAATGGTATACTCCAAATATTTCTCAAACAAATGCACCACCACCATTAAAATTTCATTCGGCTGCACTATATCAAAACTATATGATATTTGCATTTGGTAATTAATGTATTTTTCGGGGGTTTTTTTTTATTCATTTACAAATTTTATTATCATTTACTATAATATTAATTTATCAGGTCAACTTTCATCAAGTGATGCCCTTAATAATAATATATATATTCTTGACATTCGAAATTATACTTGGGTTTTAACGGTAAATCAGGAATATATAACAGGACAATATCAAGGATATATTGTTCTAATCAGACTTCTTTTGGTTTTTCTGGTTTTAATCAGTCTAATTATATCATTAATAATTATATATAATTCAATTATATTTTTTTCAAAAAGAATTGCTAATAATGGATTTTGTTGCACAATTGACTGCAATGGATTTGTTTGCATTACTGTTTAGTTAGAAAAAAAAAAAGCTTTCACATGTAAATTACTTTAATTTTTTTGTTTTTTTTTAATACACTGTAAATTTTTCTCGGTTGGTGGATTATGAGTTAGACGAAAATAAAAATTTAAAAATCTGAAATTTTTTATCTCATCAAACGTTATGATTAATTAGTATTTGCTTATCAATATTTAAGTATAATGTGACACTGAAATTAACGGAATAAAAACGAAATAAAGAGCGATACACAAAAATGCACTCATAGTTAAATATTATGATAGCGTTAATCACAATTCTCATCTCGGAAATTCATTAAGCATAAATGATAGCATTCAATCAATGAAAATCACGTAATAATATCTTAATTTATTCCATTGGAATTATCACAAGAACTTTGAAAAATTATTGAAAACAATTATCAAAATTAACGAATTCGCAAAAATTGGTCCTAAGTTGACAGGTCTAATTAGTAAATTCAATAAATCTAATACATCTGTGGCATAGGATATAAATAAAAAAAAAAGTTCTTTATTTTATCGCCTTATATAAAAATAACTTTTAGAACCTATTCCATTTATAAACTTTTTTTCATTGACAATAATATTATATTTGTAAACTTTTATTATTTTTATATAACCTTAATTTTATAATCTTAGTATTTCTACATATACAGTATCATCTTTCTTTATAAAATATAATAAAATTTTATTATTCTAATAATAAATTAATGCATGTTAATGCACATTGTATGATAATACTAAATATGATTTTATAACGAAAAAGGAAATTAAAACCTTATACTCTTTGAGAACTATTTATACTCTACTTTACGATTATCTATCGGGCATATTATTATCCGCATAATTTCTCAAAATAGTGACATAATTATATTACAAATTTTCTGACTAGTGAATTCGAATAATCACGACTCTAAAGGATCAGTGACAAATACAGCAATTATTGATATTACTATCGTCATGAATATAATAAAAATAAAAGCTAATACACGTGGCTCTCGATATAACGAAAGCCATGGTTCCAATCGTTAGGCCACGCAAAGTTGATTTTTCGTTTTGCATTACATGGATTTCAAAATTAGGGACGGACGGACGGATTTTTTTTTTTTTTTTTTTGTATTTTTTTTTTTTTTAATTCAATTTACTGCAAATAGAATAATAATCACATTTAAGGTTATATTTGATATTTTTCCTGTCAGTCCTATCGGACAATTACGGGAAATCAAGGTCTCCATCGGGTGATACCGGATGAAAATAGCGGGAAAAAATAGATGTCAAAAAACGAACAATTGGCATAATTGGGATCTAAAAAAAAAAAAAAAAATTAAAAAAAATGGGACGGCGGGTAATGCAAAACGAAAAATCAACTTTGCGTGGCCTTATGTGTGAAATTTCTTAAGAAAAGTTATATTTTCTAATTATAAAGACAATGATCAAACATTGGCTATAGAAATTTGTTTTAACGCGTTAAGGCCAATCATTATTAAAGGCACGGCATCATGCTATGCAGATCTAATGAATAGGTGTTGGGATAAAGATCAAAATAAACGGCCAACAGCCATAGAAATTTATGAGACCATTACGAACTGGAAAAGTAATGAAGAAATTTTATCTGATTTTTTGAAATATGGCCTTTGCAGTAGAAAGGGCCGATTCTGGTTTATATACTATTTTGAAAAACTGAGTTTGTTTTGTTCGGACTGATCCGGGTTAATCAAAAATTTCGTGTTTTGATTGGCCAGTTGTATCGGGTAATCCCGTGATGTACGAAACTCCCAAGAAATTTTTTTTAAATACCTCAATTTTTTATTATGCGAATCGATTTCCATTTATAATTGAAAAATGTAGCCCGTGTCGAAATTTATACGAATATAACAAAAACTCGATTTTCATTTTTGGGCAGTATCGGCCCTTTCTATTGCAAAGGCCCCATATTGTGCTAGAGGATGATATAGATAATGTTGATATTATAAAAATTCATTTCATACTAGTCAATTTATTAATTACATTAAATGACATTTGCATAACGGTATTATCGTATATACATACATACTTTTATGTAACGACAAAGGAATATAAATTATAGAATAAAATATTTTGCTTTTGATACCAATCATTGGTATTCTTCTCATTTTATATATTAGTAATAAGCAACTTGATTAGTTATTTTAATCTATATGATTTTGCAGATTTTTAATAGCTTATCAATACAATTGACAGCATTAAATAATACAACCAGTGTTGAGCAACTGGTTCCACTGGAATTATAAAGTGGAACATTAGACTTGTATATTTCAATTGGAACGTATATGCACTACGTTCCTGACGACTAATCCTTCACCCGGTATGCAACATATAAAAAATTAATTTACAATACCAGATCATTTCCGCCAGTACATGCTATGATTATAATTGTCACGGTGCTGCGCGATACCCATGTGACTGGTGATCGGGTACGTGTTGATCGAATGTCGTGATCTAATTAACGCGCAATCCATATCGCGGATGATCACGATTTAATTAGAAGTCTAAATATTGATGCATAAGCGATGATGAATAAGCTGTTTTATCTGTGTGTATACATTATCGGTGGTAGTATCTGGTACGATACTCCGGTCATCGTATATATTATCCAAGAGAGTAAAGACTGATAGAAAAGTCAAGAAGTACACGGTAGTCCGATAAACTCCGCGACAATAATCCCACACCATTTTATTATAATAAAAATGGTGTGGGATTATAATCATAACATGTACTAGCGGAATGATCCAGTATTGTAAATTAATTTTTTTTATATGTTGCACACCAAGTGAAGGATCAGTCTTGTAATATCGACGTTTCCTCCTGTAGATTATTCTAGTAGTTTTGATTGCGTGATTAACAGTGTGATTAACAGTGTGATTAATGTAATTAACAGACCAAGCGCGAGCGAATATTACGGATTGTTATTTTTTCTCTAACAGACCGGAAGTTATTACAATTCTTTTTTTTTAGTGTTAAATATGTATTAGTGCGAATTCAGGCATCTTAAAGATTTTAAAAAGTCTTGTATTTGTGCCCAGTTTTCTTACAATATTGAGAATAATAATACACCAACTAGATTTATTTATATTACAACCAATTTGACTATGGAAAGTATCTTAAAGATTACTAAAAGTCTCATATTTGTGCCAAAAAAAGATCTGCTTACAATAGAAGACCAATCAGAACATTTGCATTGTGTATAGTAAACTTGCATATCTCTTATCGGGTCCCGATAGTTATCTGGTATAGCTTTATTCGACCTGTGTAAGGCATCGAAGGTTCTTAAAAACATTTTAATTTACTAAGAGTTACTGTACTATCTTTAATCTCAACCTTATCTTCCCAGCAATCAGTCTCAGGTGTGAACAACCTGTACTAGGGTAGCCACAAATATTGCTTACAATTATTGCTCCAAATATTGATCACAATAGTTGTACCAAAATATTTATCCCAATTACCAGTTTTACTAATCATCATTCGATTACTTCTATCTAATATTTATCATTATATGATGGGAGTAATCAACCACCAGGATTGATATGTATAACCCTAAGCCTTTAGCCACTCTCTAGGAGCCTCACGATATTTTGTGGCTCAGGTCATTTGGGCTTTTGGTACTACCAAGTTACTTCTAGGCCACGGATTTAAACTTTAAACTTTAGCAGTACCAAGGATATGTACTCTTAATGATCCACCTTCGACAGCTTTTTTTTTTTTTTTTAATAGATTATGGTGGAAGAAAAGGTCACTTTATTCATGAATTTATAATAAATATAATATTATAAAATAATAACAATCCATAAATGTTAAAATACTATTTTAAAATTAATTTTAATATTAAACCTAATAATTAAGACTCCAGTATATAAAAACGTTGCCGTCTTACTGGTAGCAAATAATTTTAAATATATAACTTTTCGAATAATTGATAATTATTATTCTCGAATCGGTATGGCACTAGGTAGGCTCAATTGCCAGTAGTTACTTTACCAGTCACAATGTCAACAAAAACATATTGTGACGAGCCGTCGTCAAAGATAAAAAACGGATTTAATACATGTGGTCCCAGAGGATTGCGTAAAGTGACGGTTGTATAGGGCTCTTTGAATCCAGCTGCTTCTTTAAGCTGATTTGCACGGAGCAAATCCATCGGCCACTGGATTACTACATCACCTAACAATGGCTCTTTAACTAGTACTGGTTTGTCGAATTTGCCGGGGCTGATTTCCCTGATGATGACCGAAGTATTGTTTACTGAAATTTCACAGTCATTTCGTTAATTTTGTCAGGACCTGCACTTGTAGCCTTAGCATCAGCTTCATACAATTTCGCATCCGGATATTGATCAGTCACAATAGACACCGCAAGACTGACACGATTGTTGAAGGTCAGAGGTGTATTCTCCTGTGTTTTTCTGAAAAGCAGTGAGAGTTTGAAATTGCTTAAAAACACTTGTTAATGGATTGGATTTACCCTTTTGTACTAAAAATAGTACATTTTATAAAATTCGTAGAGACACCAAAACTTATTAAAATTAAA